GGACGTCACGTGTTAACGCACATCCCCTCGGCCCGGAGCACCAGGCCGTGAGATTTGTGCCGCCAACAAGTATCTTCGGCCGTGTCTTTTACGGCCTTGGGCTTCAGCCTATAATACCGCAGTCGAGAGGCCGAGAGGATTTTGCCTTTGCAGCTTTTCTTTTGTTTTCAGGAAGGCGAAATGCCTAACGAAACGTGGCCGTTTCAGTTCATGAGAAGGTGCTAGGGCCGAGAGGAGGTCCCTTCGGTCAGTTTATGGCCGTGATTTATTAGGCACAAACATATTCTCCACCTCGGTCTAACCTTACCACTTGAATCTTAAGTTCCAACTGTTTTTCCACCTCAGCTTTATAGATTTTGAACATATCTAAGGCTTTTGATTTTTCTTTTATTAAATAGATATGTCCATATCTCGAGTGATCCTCTGTGAAGGTGATAAAATACTTGTATCCTTCATGTGTTGGATTTGGAAAAGGACCACAAATATCAGTGTGAATTAATTCCAACGAATTTTCACTTCTTACTGCTGCTTTCTTCCTTCAGGTGGTTAGTTTTCCTTTTATGCATTCAACACAGTTTTCATCCAACTCATTAAAGTCAAGTGGTGCTAACACAGATTCTTTGCATAGGGTGTTCAGTCTTTCTTTTGAAATATGCCCGAGTCTTTTGTGCCAAATTTTTGCAGAAGTTTGATTCTTACGTTTTGTGCTTGTAATGTTCATAACCATTTGAGGAGTCTTGCAATTTAACTGAAACATATTGCCAACGAGAATTCCATTTCCAACTAACTCTTTTTTATTGAAAATTGAAATACCAAATTCATCAAAACTCAAAGTGAGCTTTGATTTTACAAGCCTAGCAACTGAAATAAGGTTCCTTGTCATAGAAGGAACATATACTACATCTACCAAATCCAAAACAAAACCAGAATCTAATTGAATCCTAACTGCTCCAATGAACTCCACTTGTACTTTGACTCCATTTCCAACGAACACCTTCACCTCATCCTTGTTTGGTGGTCTCTTGGTTATGAACCCCTGTAAAGAATTCGCAACATGTATTGAAGCACCACTGTCTAACCACCAAGTATCAGTTGAAACATCAATCAAATTTGATTCAAAACAGACCAAAACATTTTCAATCTTACCTTCATTTTTGCCTTTGTTTTTCTGATTTTCTAACCACCTCTGGTACCTTGTGCAGTTCCTTTTCATGTGTCCAAATTTTCTACAGAAATAGCATTTCAATCCAATTGGCTTTCCCTCTTTCATCTTGGTATTTTCCTTATCTTTCTTTTTTGCAAAATTTCCCTTCTTTTCTTTGGATTGTTTGACACGATAATCTTGTACCATATTCACAGTTTTTTGACCTCTTTCCATGATGATATTATTTTCTTCTTGAACGCTTATTGTTATGAGATCATTCAGTGTCCAACTTTCCTTTTGAGCCACATAAGAACTCTTGAGAGTTTTGTATTCTTTTGGCAGTGAATTCAATGCAAAATGCACCATCATATCATCATTTATAGTCATGCTTAATCCCTTTAGCTTGTTCGCAATGTCTGCCATATTCATTATGCGAGCTCTTACACAACCACGCCCATCATACTTCATCTCAGTCAATTTGTTCAGTAGGATACCTTTCTCATTCTTTAAATTTCTGACCAATTGAAACAAGAAAATCTTTGACACAATCTGATCTTGGAATACTTCCTCTTAAAGAAGGTGTCATGGTTTTCAGCATAATCAGTGTAGCCATCCTGTTGGCCTTTTCCCATCTTTCATATTTCCTTTTGACATCTGCAGCAGGTTCCTTAAGTGCATCCCATTTTAGAGCTATATCATAGTCCATTAGCTCTAGTGAGATTTCCAGCTCTTCTTTCTACTTTAGATAGTTTGAACCGATCAAGATTTCGATGGAGTTGTAGGTTGTAGTATTGACTGTAATTTCAAGAAAAACATAAATACAAATCCTCAATAACTTTAATTTAACATTATTGATTTGCATCTGTAGATCAGAAATCAAACATGTTCCATGGTCTTAGAACAACAAATCTGTAGAAGCAATCTTGAAACAACGAATGATTCCACATCTGTGGATGGAGAAACACTCATTGTTTGCTCATACAATCTGTTTTTCTAATCTGTTCCATTATAATCAATCCTTCTTGCACAATTCACATTTGTGGATAGAGATTTGTACAAGAGATATTGAATATAATGCAATCTTGATCAGGAACTTTGAATGAAGAATTTCCTGCATTGATTTAGTTGTTGTGGCTCACTTAATCGATTCAAGATCCTCCCCAAACTTTGATCAATCAATCTTTCAAGCCTGATTTAAGCAGAGAACTTTATGCTTAACTCATACCTTAACAATTAAGATATGCAATCAAAACTTACATGCTTATAATGACAGTATATAAAACATATTCTTTTAAGGCGAATTTTATCTTGTAATTAGGTTAAGAACATATAACCTAAGCTCTGATACCACATGTAAACTTTAATAGGTTTATATGCTCAAAACACATAACATACCTTGATCAGACATGGTGATAATTACTGCAGCAAGGAACTGGATTTCTTATTCTGGAAGAAACTGGAATTCTGCAATAGGTTCTTGGCTGGTTCACTGGTTCTAGGCAGATTCGCAGTAGGGTAGTTTCTCTATGCTATCCGGCTCTTGAATCTCTTCTTGATGGGGTAGAATTATATGAGAGTAATTTGCCGTTAGCATAGAGACCTCCCTTTTATAGGCACAGTTTAAGAATCCTCCTCATCATGGATTACTTAAACTACTTTAACCAAAAGGATTAGGTATCTCAATCCATTTAAAATAGGAAATCTTAAGCACTTGTATTTATCTGAAAAGTCATATATATCAGGTCTTAAAATAAAGGGAGACTTTGAAAAAACACAAAGGAGAGAGAAATTTTGTAAAATAAGCAAAAATAGACAAAATTACCCTTATTTATTTTTGGATTTCCTAAGAAATCCTCTACATTTGCATGTATTTGATTTGAAAGTTGAGAGGTTTTTCTGTCTTTTTCTAAAAAGCTTTGGCTTTTTCCAAAAGTGAAATTTTTTTTTGGGCTAAAACCTAAATTTACTTAAAATAAATCGATCCATGTAATCCTAATTGACATTGGACTAGTTATCCTTAAGTGATTAGAAGACCATCTTTAGAGTTTGTATTAGAATGCAAATCTTACAGAGTTCAGTGAGAGACTTCAGACCTGATTGCAATACTCTTGAATTAAGACAATCAGATATGGTCAGAGATCTGAGCATTCTCCAACCAATCTGGCAAAGCATCTGGATTGGGGCCGCTACTAATTTCCAAGCACAACGTCCGGCTATTTTGTAACCCACATGGTAGAGAATTAAACACAGGATAGTTCGAGATAGTGAAGCTTCGAAGTGAGGAGAGGTGTTGCACACCCTCTGGAAAAGAACCAAGGTTTGGACAATACATAAACGTCAAGTGCTCGAGGAATGTAAGATGCTCAAAACTGGATGACAAGAAGCCAGATGGCTACAATTCCCAATGGACAAAGTTCAAAGGGAACTTAATCCTGAAATTCCCCCATCTGGCATGGATAGTAGACTGTGACAGTCACTAATCTCAAGTGACTCTAGAGTTTTGAGGTTCTTTAAACTCTGTGGCAGAGAGGACAACTCATCACACCAACGAATCGTCAATGATTTCAGAACAGTGAGGTTTCTAATCTCCCAAAAAAATTTCCTTGAACATGAGCCATCTGCTCCCAAAAGAGAACCACCATGTGCAATGACCAAAAAGAATTAGCACAGCATGTTTACTTAACAGGAATGGAAGAAGCCGAGGTCACTCTCTCGCGTTCAAGGAGAGCCAAACGAAAACATTAGGGTAAGGATTTTTCTCACATCTTGTTTGAATAGATTAAAAAATGGCGTGGGAGCTATTAAAGAGAGGCATGGTACAGAAATATGGGTGGAAGACTAGGAGCTAGTGTCAAAAATTGAAACAAAGGGAAATCTATTTTTTGAACCTTCTATTGGGGAGAAGCAATATAATAAAAGAAATGAGACTAATTAGTTTAATAATTTTTTAATGTGTGAAGTTATGGAAGAAACGACACGCATGGTGTAAAGTAAGCTTTCTGAATGTAGCAGTTCACATGAAAATTACCCAATTTTCAATGTAGCACTTCACATAGTGGTTATTTACTATAATTGTATTGAAATTAAGCTTTATGAATTTAGCTTTCAAGGAGGAGATGATCGAAGAACAAATTTAACGGGTTGAACCGACGAAAATTAGGCATTGTTCTTAGAACAAAATGTGATGATTAAATTAATAAAATATAAACTATATTTATAAATACGGATAAATTACTATTTTACTCACTTGAATTATACTATAATTGTCAATTTTTCCCTTGAACTATTTACTTTTTTTTTATAAATAAGATTTTAAACTATATGAAAATGACCAATTTAGGATTTGATGTCAATTTTTTGAATGTCCATCCAATTTCCGTCAATATTAAGAGTAAATTTGTAATTTTAAAGAAAATAAAAATTATATCTGATCAAATTACTAAATAATAGTAAAAAGATTTTTTAAAAACAAAATTAAAGAACCCCGCCTCAACATCGATGGCGTGAAGCTAACTCCGCACCAACCCTCTCTACTCCAAATTTATATTTTATATTTTTTAAAAACTATCAAACACCTCAACTAGTTTTTTTATCATGTAGAGGAGTCACAAAAAAAAATTTAATCTTTTTTCTTTCTCATTTTTCTGACAAAAAAAAATGTCAGCCTAATTTTGTCGGAGACGAAATCTGATTCAGCCAGCAACAACACCTGTAAGTGATTGTTTACATAACATGCTATTTTGCTAAATCCCTCATTTCAAGTTCGATTGATGTATGTATTTTCTTTTTGAAAGGTTTCTGTTAGTCATGGTGCGCAAGCGTAAGTTAGGGGCATCTGTAAGTTGTGGAGCTGAAGATGCTAATTGTGCTGAAAATGCAACAGACAGATTTAGCAATCTTCCAGATTCTTTCCTTCCTCTCTTTCAAAGATCTCACTCGAGTGGGCGCCGTGTCGAAAAGATGCAGGCAATTTCATCTATCAGTTCCGGTCTTGAGTTTTGATTATTCAAGTTGCAAACCACGTGGAGTAACCAACCAGAAGATAGTGAAGTTGATGAGCCCTTTGGATAGGTACTTGTGTTATCGTGGTGATCATAGGATGCAAGTCTTCAGCATTAATTGGAGCTGCTTTGGATCTGAACAAGCGAGCAAGTTTTCTGATGATCATTTTCGGGTGATCACCTGGATTGTTAATGCGGTAAGGTGCAATGTTGAAGTGCTTGATCTCCGTTTGGCATGTGATTTTCTTGCGCTTCCATCTTGCGTTTTTCTTTCTAAGTCTTTGCAGTCTCTATCAGTGCATTTGACTTGGATGATTCTTGAAGCCCCGTCTGTATCCTTTTCAAGTAATCTCTGTTACTTAAAACTGGAAAAAGTTACAATAGTGGATGAGAGGTTTTTCAAATGGATCTCACGTTCCTGCAAATTCCTGAAGGAATTACAGCTTATTTGGGTTTGGATTCGAGGAATGCGAAAAATCTCTATTGAAAGTTTTTCTTTAGAATCCCTTCTTGTTTGGATCAATGATCCTAACCCTATTCATCTGAACATCTCTGGTCAGAAAATTGAAAGTATTGATATAAGCTTTAAGGATTACCACGCACTAACGAGCAGCATAGAGGTGAATATTTTTGCTCCAAATCTGAAATATTTGAAATGGGAAGGCATTTTGAACAATAGTCTGAATCTGGGGAAATTAACTGGTTTGGAAAAAGTAGAGATTTTTTTAGCGTCTCAGAGAAATAAATTTGATGAAGTATTTGAGAAATTTGATAAAGTATTTGAGTTTCTTCATAGTGTACGCTGGGCGAAGGTTCTTATCATAAACGAGGAGACCATGAAGGTAAAATTGACACTATCCTCAACACCTTTATATTTTGTAGGAATTTGAAATCATTTGAAAGGTTGACATTAGCTGTTGGAATAATGCGATTTCTTATTTATGCTGCAAGTTCTGTTTAAATTCCATGTATATATTTTATTTGTCAGAGAATGTACTAAGTTGAAAATCCTATAATATAGTTTTAATAAAATGATTTAAATTGAGAAACATTATGGTTTAAATTTTTTATCAATTGATGGTTACTTATCTAGACTCTGAGATATGTAGCAGCTAGTTAAACTTTATTACTGTTTTTTTATCTCCTGGGGTGTAGCTTCATGCCTTCTTTCTATTTATGATTCTTTCTTGATAAATTTGCAGGCATTCAAGGAAGGTTCCATGTCAGCACCATTGGATAATATTCGTAAATTGGGTATTCATTGTAGTAGCTTGAAAGATGACCTTGTCCCAGCAATGGTCTCTCTTGTTAGAGGAATGACTAATTTGAATAGTCTATACATAAAGACGCTACCTGACGGAGGGGACACCAAATCTGTAGTAAGTGTAAGTCAATGTTGCCTACTGATCTCCCTCTCACACACATTTTCTTATAGTCATTTCTAGATTCAGTTACTTATAAATTATTGTAAAAAAATAAACTTATCTGGTTGTCTTTTTCAATAAATATGTATGCCTTGATTTCCAGTCTGGGTTTGGTATGGGATACTGGAAATTGCAAAACCTTGCTTTTGTTCGTCAGCTAAAGGAGGTAACCATAGAGCCTTCCACTGGGTCTAATGAAATCGAATTTGCACGGTATATCCTGGAGCATTCTCAAAATTTGAAGAAAATGTTCCTTTTTCTTCATCATGGAGCTGAGCAATCAAAAGTAGCAGGAGGAATGGTAAGCCGTAGCAAGATGATTTCTACTGCCACAATTGTCATTCGGGGTTCAGGGATGGTAAGATGTAAAAGGAAGAAAGTTTGTTTATAGAAAACTTTATGTATGTCCTTATTGAGGGTGTTACTAGATCCATTTTGGAAGTCAAGAACATTTGTAATGCCACAATTCTCTCAAGTCAGAAAGCTAGCAAAGAAAAGCTGCTCTGGTTTTGTTTATAGAAGAGGTTATAGATAATGTAAGAACTTTGGCATGGGATTGTTTGGCATTTCTATTAGATTACATTGAACTCTTTTGTTTAGTGTATTTGTGTTTTACACTATCGTTCTTGCAGCAGAATCATGGAGCCAGTGACTAAAAAAAGAGAGTTGAATTACGAGGAAGGAGAGAAAATTTTGTGTTTGGTTCACGAATGAACTCAAATGATCCACATAATTTGTTTTTAATAAAAAAAATTGTCAGCATACACCATTAATATTGGACGACATTGCTTGATCTATATGCAAGAAGAGTGTTTCTGTCAAATGAAAAGTATTGAAACTCCCCAGGAAACTCCCAAGCACCTTCATCAGTGAGACGGCCTTCAGTTGATGTCAAGTGATGGCTGTCGAGCAAAGAGAGCTGTTGTATGGGCAATCAAATGGCAACTATCAAGCAAAAATTTACAATACAACAATGCAATATGACTAAAACTTTATTTAAATATAAAATAAACAGAATCAAAATTAAGAGAGAAGTAAACCTTATTTTTAGAATCCAAAAGGAGAATTTCATTCAACTAGGAAAATGTATAGGAGGGCAAAACAATGGTCTTGTTCAAACCTTTGCCATAAAAAAATCCCCACAAAGAGGAAAATCTGGACAAAATACAAGACAATACTATTAAACACCCAACCCCACTTTGTTATCTTCCATAGAATAGAGTCCAACCAAGGTGGTGCCGTCCAAACAAAACTGGAGCCTTCCTTCAAGCCAAATTGAGTAAGAGCATGCGCCACACAGTTGCTCTTTCAAGGTTGATAAAAACACATCCGTCACATACATGTCGACTACCAACCATCTAATATCTTCCACCACATTGCCAATGTTGCTCCACCAATCCGTTCTGCCATTAAGCATTGAAAGAGCTTCTTGGGAGGCAGTTGCAAGTATAAAACGATTAAAACCCAAAAAGCCTATCATCAATGAAATTTCCCGTATGGCCACTATCTCCCACCCCAAAACATTCAACCCCCGCGGCCCTGCAGCAGCAAAACCACAAAAGAAAATTCCTTTCATCAACCTACAGATACAAGTAACACTTTTGAACTAATTATACAAGGTTGCTTTTTTATGCTTTTTTAATACTGAAAGAGTCATATATCTACAATGTTCTCATTTCAAAACAACATCTATACGGAGTGTTGCTTTTTATTCTCAGACGAAAACACAGGAATTTAATTAATATGATATCCATACAATACAAAATTAGAGGATTCTCAAAACAACCTTGTACATAGAAATACATAAATCCCCTATAAAGAGAAAATAAAAAAGCACACCACAACACCAAGAGAAATGACTTACTATAATGATAATAGCTTGTTGATGACAATGAAATAGAAGTTTCTTACTGAGAAGCTACTTGGATAGATGAGCTTCCCGATGTGCTCGCTTCGCCAAACCGCCTTACCTGAGGCGATCCAATGTACTTATGTGGGACATGGGCTATTTTCAACCAATCCTCACCACTACCCTGTCTGCATCTTTCCTCAAGCTCAGGACATTCTTGAATAGAGAGGTGCTGGAGTTTAGTGAGAAACTTGAAACCCAGTGGCAGTACTATCAAATTAGGACACTCATATATGGTCAAAGATCTAAGTGAAGCAAGATCCTTAAACCATTCTGGCAAAGCTGTTAGATTGTCGCAACTACTAATTTCCAAGCAGTGCAGGGTCTTGACATTTTGCAACCCTTCTGGCAGAGAATCAAACCAAGGACAATTTTGAACCACCAAACTTCTAAGGGAGGAAAGGTGTTGCACACCTGCTGGAAAAGAACCAAGTTTTGGACAGTCCATGATGGTCAAGTCCTCAAGCAATGTGAGCTGTTCCAAACTCGACAACAGAGAAGTCAGCTCACTGCAGTTTTCAATGGACAAAGTTCGAAGTGAAGCCAAACCCGCAATTCCACCATCTAGCAGGGATGTTAGACTACCACAGCCACTAATCTCCAGTGACTCCAGAGCTTTCAGGTTCTGTAAACTTTGTGGTAGAGAGGACAGCTTTTCACACCAACGAATGGTCAATGATTTCAGAGAACTAAGGTTTTGGATCTCCAAAGGCATTGAATGAAGCTTGGGGCAAGACACAATCTTCAAGGAAGACAGACTAGTTGATGCAAAGAGCCCTTTTGGGAGAGACACTAGGTCTGGAATTTTGTCAAGAATAAGAACAGATAGCAAACTTAAATCTGCTATGGGCACCAACGTAGGATTACAATCCTGAATCTCCAAATGTAGAAGGGACTGAGGTAACGGTATATGTGCTAACTTGGGGCAAATCTTTACATTTAATTTCTTCAATCTACGGAATGCATTTCTATCATTTGCACTTGACCACTCTTCCAAGTTTGCAAAATCACTTATTGATAGTTCTTCGAGTGATGGAAACCATATGTCTGTACCGTCACCATAGAACTCTGTACCAATGCTCTTCACGCCATGCATTCCTTGCAGAGAAAGCGTCTTAAGTAGCGGAAGATTCCCAACGGTTGGAAGATATTCACAACTTCTACAGTTGGTGAAAACAGCAGCAACAAGATCTGGGAGAGCCCAATGAGGAAATTTGATTCCTGGGTACCCATTTATAACTAGCTTTTTCAGATTTTTGTGTGGTTGCAGAACTTCAATAACTATTTCAGATGCTTGTGCTATATGTGATCTTGAGACGCCTTCTTCAGGTTGGGCCTTAGGTAGTTTTGGGAATGCGTCTCTAAATTGCGGAATACTATCCCAGTATAATCCCAACGACTCCAGATTTTCCTTCATATGCAGTCTTGCTGATTTGACCAGTTCTGCTGATCCAATTGTACGTGACAGGCTGCCAAAAAATATACTTTGCGTACATAAAAAAGAAACTGGAACATTATCCACCAAGTCAGCAATATTCACCAAGAGAGGAATATTCACCAAGTGAGCAATATTCAACTCTCCATAAAGATTTAAACCTTCCAGTTGAATCATTCCCGGCAACTTCGGCACAACAAAAAGTGGCAATGTCTGAAGCTGACGTAAATGTTTAATATTCGGAGGCATACCAGTCAAACGCTCACATCCACTTAAGTTAAGATGTCTTAAGTATGATCCCAAATGAGGCAAAGATTCAAGATTATGGCAACCAATTAGGTTTAGGGTCTGCAAATAAAACAGATCATGTGCTGTTTTAGGTAACTGGGTGATACGTGTGTAAGACAAGTCAAAATACCTCAAACATATCAAGGCACCCAAGGAATTCGGCAGATCAACAAGATCACAGTTGTTGAGATCTAGCACTCGCAAGTATTCAAAACTTGAATAAATTTTATCTCCGTTCTGCAACGAGCCAGAATCTCCGATCAATAAGAGAGTTCGCAAATGTTCTGCTTTATATAGAGTTTCTGGAATTGTAATTCTTTCACCATATCTATAAACAATAGATGCGTGGCGAATCTCTGCTGGTGACCAATTTTGTGGCCGACCCTGTTCAAGTACCACATATTCTTTTCCTGCAACATATCGTGCAAGATCATGAATGATATCATTCATCTTGTATCCAATTATTTCTCCACCATCATGTGGCCGTACTTCTTGCAAGAAATATATCCACAACAATTCGGAAAAGTATTCCTCACCAATGTCTTCAGGTCGCTTGCTTCCCTCTTCTGGAATGAAGCCTTCTGCCATCCATAGATGAATTAACTTCTGCTTCTTGAACTCATAATTTTTGGGAAATAATGAGCAGAATGCAAAGCATTGTCTAAGATGTGGCGGTAGACTCAACATTAGGGGAAGGAAAAGTTTATTTTCGCTTTCATCTGATTCCCAGAGTTCACAATCTCGCTTAAATAACCACTTTTTTTCTTCTCTTTCCAAGAGCATTGATCTTCCCAAACATTTTGCAGCTAATGGCACTCCTCCAATTTTTTTGATAATCTCCTTTCCAATCCGTGTAAGATTTGGATACTTCTCTTCTTCTCCGCATTGAAATGCTTCCTGCTTGAACACAGACCAGCAATCATCATCCTTCAAACCATTTAAATAAAATGGTGAATTTGGGAAGCCCATTATTAATGGAATTTTTTGACTGCGGGTGGTGACAATAATTTTGCATCCACTAAGACCCGCTCTAAACAAAGGTGTTAGTTCCTTCCAATCATCCCGGTCTTCAGTCCAAACATTATCCAACACAATCAGACATCTGTTCTCCTGTAGCAATTCCAAAAGCCGAGATTGAAGTGATGCAATCGCCGACAACTTGCATTCCTTCTTTGTTACAAGCTCAATGGCTTTTTTCATAATCTTCTCGACATTGAAATTCTCAGAAACAAAAATCCACATTCTAGAGCGGAAGTGTTTGGAGACCCTCTCATCGTTATATGCCAATTGAGCAAGAGTGGTCTTGCCAATTCCTCCAATACCAATTATTGGAATACAAGTTGCAGATCCATCCTGGGAAGTTTCCGAAGACAGTAACAGTTTGACTAACTTCTCTTTCTCATCATCTCTTCCATATATCTTTGGGTCGAGGATGCAAGAGCCAGTCTCCCTTTGGATAGATCGTCGATCTCCTATGCTAGGCTCTCCAAATTTAAATGTCGAGAATCCCTCATTTATCGTCTTTTCTAATTTGAGGATTGCCTTTTTAATTTTTTCAGCATGAGAGCCTTTTAAAATTGACTTACCATACCCGTTATAGCAAGCGAAAGACAAGTCCAGAAGGTCCTCAGCATCAGAAACATCTTTCTTGAGGTTTGACAACCAAAACCTAACATATTTGTTGGTTATTTGTTGATCCTCCGCAGCTTGAAGAATAGCTTCAACCCTTTTTATGGAATCTCGTAGGCTGTTGAGCTTGTCCTCGAAACCCAACGTATCAGCAGCAATTGCTTCTAAGGCTGGGTAGGCCAATCTGTCAAAGATCACTTGCAAAGCAGGGGATAAAACTATGCTTGCTGCTTCCATTTCTAGCAACAACACCACCACCAAAACAAAACAAGCCTGAGATTATGAGAATGGTTGGATCTGGAAATGGAAATACAATTTGGTTAACAGTTTGCTTTAGAGGGCAACAGTTTGCTTTAGAGGGCCTTTCAAAAGCCAGCAAATATGTGGTTCATGGTGGAGAATCTAGAGATAGATATTTGTTTCTTTCTTTTTCTCTTTGCTCATCATTTCCACCCACCGACATTTACTTTATTTTGTTAATACTTAATACTTTACTTATTTTCATCGAGGAGGAGGCTTACTTTGCCCTTTAAAAGTTAATTTGACTCACTTTTCCCTTAAACTTCCGTCAACTAAATCAACTCTTACAATTTAGGGTTGATTAATGTTTAAAATCGTCGTTTAAAGCTAGTTTAGATTTTCCTACATGGCATATATAATTTACGGTTGAATAATGTTTTAAAAAACCCATTGTGGTAACAGTCAACTATACCAAAGCTCATAATGGCCACAGACGTGGTGCACATTGCTTGCTAGTCTCAAGCAAAATAGACTAGTTTTTGACACCTTCAAGGAATTATGATTTAACTTGAGTGAAAAATGAATCTTACAGTATTTCTCCCGATATTACAATGTTGCTACACAAGAGGTTGATTGGTCTATATTTTTCTCAGCCCTACGTGAAACTTCTCCGTGTTCAGACCGTTGGAGCTCACCTCTGTCATGCTTTTTCATCTTTTTCTCTTTGCTCATTATTTCCACCCTCTTTTGTTAATTTTAGGGTCTGGCAAGAAGTACAGAAATGCTGATGGCAACTAAATTATTTGAATGCATCCGGTGTATTTACTCAATTTCCCCTCAAAGCCAGTAAATATGTGGTTCACACTAAAAGTCAAGGTCTTTCATTTCATACATCTTTACTTTTGTAAGCCAAATCACTATTCTCTTTGTAAAGCTTTAATCCAAGGACGACACTTTTCCACCGACCGACCCCACTTCACGAGATGAAGACTGCTTTTCTACATACTTTTCTTGTTTGGTTTATGGTGGAGAATCTGGAGATGGATTTTTTTTTCTCTCTTTCCATCTTTTTCTCTTTGCTCATTATTTCCACATTTCATCAAGGCTTAATTATCCTATATGCCTTTACTTTGGCTTAATTATCCTCATCACACTGATGCCACCGTGCATACAAATCCTACGAATCCTTAAAAGAAAATATGTTTTTCTTTAGTTGCATCTGTTAGAGGTTTTGGTCTTGATTTGGTTATATATGTTTTTCTTGTATTGTTTTGGTGGATATCTTGTTTTAGCCCGATATTGGACGACATTGATTGTACGTATTGAAGAACATGATTGATATATGCAACAGTGTTTCTGTCAGACGACAAGTACTGTCTAGGAAACCCCCAAGCACCTTCATCAGTCACTAGGAAAAACCCAAACACCTTCATCTTTTTGAAAAACCCAAGTTCCTACTCCTTTTGCCTCTTTCATTCATTTGTAAAATAGGGGACCCAATCTGTCGTATTGGATGATTACATTATGGCCCAAGAAACTCAAAAGCCTATTCCAAAACTGAAAATTTTCAAATTTTGTATGTTTCTTTTTTGTACAAAGAGGTATTTTAGGGGAGTACAAAATCGAATACACATTCGGTATATTTATTTATACTTTCTCAACATTTAAATTTTGTTAAGTTTCTTTTGAGTTTATAGTTGTGTGTTTGATCTGTTAAATTGGTTTACTTTGGTTATTTTTTTTCTTTTCAAAGAGTAGAGATATAGTAAAAGCGATATATAAGAATCTCTCTGATAATCTGATGCATAACGGATATGTATTGATATGTGCAATTTGACAGTCTAAATATGATCCAAATATGATAATCTGATTATAAATGAATTTGAATTTGGATTGAGGTATATTCGAATCCGAATTCGACCCGTTTACAGGTTGTTGGTCCTTTTTCCCCCGAAAACTCCTTTTGATGGTATGATGACCTGGATCTGATTGCTTCTGCAGAGTGAGGAGGTCGTTTGATCAACACCAATGCCCCAATTGGATTTCTGGCTCCCGAAGAGGATTCTTTCAACCTCTGAACAAAATTGAAAGTTGGATCAAGTTGACAGGAACGGGCAAGCTCGGGCTGGGACCTATTGGCTTGTTCCTTCTATCCTGATCACCCAAGCACCTTCATCACAAAGGTCATAGCCACTAGAAGGAGCAATACAACTTCCTTCTTACACTTTTTGAGCAGGAAACCAAGAACCTTCATCAACGACTACTAGGAAAAACCCAAGCACCTTCATCAGTGACTACTAGGAAAACCCACCTTTATGTTTTTTTTTATAAGAATTATTGGAAACTTCTAAGTGGGGTTTTTGTTTCTAGCCCTAATACAATTACAGTAATGCTTTTATTTTATTTTGCAGACATCTTTAAGTTTTGTTCCGAGTTACTAGGGCTTTACTAGTGTCACATTTCATTATGATTTCGGAGCTATGACTTGTTGGAAAATTGATATTAATTAATATTAATTTTTTTATTTGAATGGAAATTAGTAAGAGGGAACTTAATTTTTTGTCTTTACTTAATTCCCCTCAAAGTCAGTAAATATGTGGTTCACACTCAATGTCAAGGTCTTTCATTTCATACATCTTTACTTTTGTCATCCAAATCACTGTTCTCTTTGAAAAGCTTTAATCCAAGGACGACACTTTTCCACCGACCGACCCCCCCTTCACGAGATGAAGAATGCTTTTCTACGTACTTTTCTTGTTTGGTTTATGGTGGAGAATCTGGAGATAGATATTTGTTTCTCTCTTTAATTTCATCCTTTTCTCTTTGCTCATTACGACCTGGCAAACGTGTCAAGTTCGTGAGTTTTGAGTCGTGTTCGTGTCAACCCATTAAGGAAAGTGAGTTGACTCGACCCATTCAAATTCACAAAAACCCAACCTGACCCGTTATGACTAATGAGTTGCTGTTTTTGCTCGTTTCACGCACTTCACCCATTTCAAAAATAGACTATATTTGTTAACAAATTATTAAATAAAAACACCTCAAATTAGACAAATTTTTGTGAGAAAATAATAAGATATTAAGTATTTAAGAATATAATTAAAATGATAATATGGAGTGAAAGGAGGAGGATGTTATTGGTGGGGTTAGATTAGGGGTGGTTGCGGTACGGTAACTGCGAATTTTTGCCCAAATCGCAAACCGACCAACTATATGTGGTAAGGTGATTTTTGAAACCGCAAACCGACCAACTATACATGTATAAACATTTTAGTCATTTCTGTGGCATCACTGATGCTGTCGTGCATAACAATCCTAAGAAGCCTACAAAGATAATATATTTGTTTTTCCTTAGTTGTATCTTTTAGACATTACAAACAAAAGTGGCAACCGTCACCATTATTTGGTGACATTTGCTGGGGTAACTTTGTAGTGAGGTTTTGGTCTTGATTTCATTACATATGTTTTTCTTGTATTGTTTTGGTGGATATCTTGTTTTAGCCCAATATTGGACGACATTGATCATAGGTGATAATATATATATTTGGTAAGCACGCCCACACCTCATCTTCTTTAAACCTCTGTAAAATTGTGTTTACATGGAATTATTCCTCATTGAGTTATATATATGCTGCTACCCTCTCTCCTACGTAGTCAGATTGGTAAGCAAGCCCCATAGCTCATTCTTATATTCACCCTTGAGAGGTTTCGTTCTTGAATTCAGAAATTTGGAACTTCTAAATTCCCTACAAATTCTAAGAAAGAAAAACACACCACAAGTTTGATGAGAAAAACTCATGCGAAAATGGGGGGATAGTATTGTTTTGTTATTCCCGGCCGATGACAATATGCCAAGTGAAAAAAATTGTCACCTATGGCATATCGTGATTGACTAAAGATAGCAAAATAATGTTAATCTTATTTCACATGATTTTTTCTACTTGCATGGACAGTCAGTCTCAGTCAATTCGCAATTGAATGAATCTCAAGATCTTTCATCTTTAGTTTTATAATCCAAATTATCTTTGATTTTATAACTTTAGTTTTGTGTGATTAATTACGAGGGTCCAAATACAGGGCCACTAGAAGGAACAAAATTTCAACCTACACTTTTTAGACTAGGAAACCCCCAAGCACCTTCATCAGCACGCACTAGGGTTAAAGTATTGGAAGTGCATTCACTTAATTCCCCTACGTTTTTCACCATACTTTTCTTTTCCTAGTGCATCTAGTCCATTTACTTAATTCCCCTATGTTCAATCTCCTCCTTTTCTTTTTTTTTTTCTTTTTTTTTGGTTCTTATTTATTCATACTTCCTCAACATTTAAATTTTGTTAAGTTTCTTTTGAGTTTCTAGTTGTGTGTTTGATCTGTTAAATTAGTTTACTTTGGTTTTTTTTCTTTTCTAAAAGTAGAGATATATAGTAAAGGAGATATATAAGAATCTCTCCCTTCAGATTAATATTTCTTCAGTAAGAAAAGAACATTGAGTTCTTGTTCTGTTTTTTTGTCAAAAACATTGAATTTCCGTTTACATGAAGCTAAATAGCAACGGCTTGAATTACGAGGAATGAGAGAATGCAAGCGGAAAAAGGAATAAAAGAAAAGAAAAAGTGATCCATAGCATCTCCAAGGGAGTATGTAAATGAAATAGGCAAAATAGATCCGATCCGACTTAGAATGAAGTACAATTTAGTTTTTCTATGCTTTATATTAATATTTCATATGTGTAAATGAGTAATTTTAGTTTTATATGCACTAAGAAGACACTTAAAACTAATTTTTTTTATAAATTTTTTTTTATTTGATATAAAAAGTAGAAAAATACATTAAAAGATTGAGGCTACTAATGAAATTTTGATTTTTTTGTACATATCAAAATAAATCCTATAATAATCTGATCTGAATCTGAATCCGATGCGTAACGGATAGGGATTAATAGGCACAATCCGATAGTCCGAATACAATCCAAATTCGATAATATGATTATAAATGAATTCGAATTTGAATTGAGGTATATCCGATCCAAATCCGACCCGTTTACAGGTCTAGAGCTCACATTTGTCATGCTTTTGCTTCACCCACGTCTGCCTCAAAGATTTAAGAACCATCTTTCTGGTACCCCACATGATTTTCTTGCCCTTCTTTTAATGTAAACAGTTTGATGTATAGACGAACAAAGAAAGCTTGAAACAAAAAAACAAAAGGAAAAAACAAAACAGAGAGAGAAGGGTAATCATAAAAACTAAGGGCTATGTATATATCACCTTACCACCAAATGTCTATTTGCACTCTCTCTTACTATGTAGATGCTTCTTTCCCATACGGATTTAATTCTTTAATTCATATAGCACTAACAAATTGACAACTAATCATGCTAGATACTTATATTACTGTACACGTATCCGTCTGTATATTTAATACTATCAATGTAATCTGTCTAGTTCAGTTTGGGTTAAAGAGTTCAGGACGGAATGATATGGAACTGAACAAGATGGTAAGTTCAATTTTGTTGATGAGACTGTTGAAGATGACGAGGCACCATGCCACCATCTATGGTAGCTGGTAGGTTGAATGTCAAGATCTTTCATCTCTACTTTCTATACGTTGACAAGCACAAAGGTCAAGGCCACTAGAAGGAGCAGTACAGCTTCCTTCCACTTTTTGAGCAGGAAACCATGCACCTTCAACAGTGACTACAAGGAAAAACCCAAAGATCTCAATTCATGTGTACCACCTACTTACTTTTAAATTGTAGTGGGTTCATGGCCACTCTCACGTTCAGTGCCAATTAAGCCACACTCAATGACAAAGAAATAGATAACTCACTGCACCTCTCAATTGAGAAAGTTCAGAGGTAACTTCCACCATCCGAAGCGGAGATTATTGGAAGAGTTAAAGAGGAACAAAAATTTGGATTTGAACTCCTTTTCTCTTTACAGTTCATGCTGGGCAGAGAAGTTTCAGGCCTCTGAACCTAATCATCCTATTGTGACTCCAATATGAGGTCTTGTAATTTGTTAAGTCTGTATTTACTCTGAAATTTAGATTAATGAGATTGCGAGCGTGCCCTGTTAATAGTAAAAACTCTCAACAAAATGAAATTCTATATATACTAAAGCCCAATGCAACTAGATAGTATTCACAAGCACTGTTCCTTGAACAGTGAAATGCCAGAAAAACCCCCGTTTCAGTGTTACACAGCCTTATATTTTCCCAACGATACAGTACATTGTCGATTTTGCCCTTTCTAAAAATTTCCTGATGTTCCCTTTTTGCCTCTCTTTGGATGCTAACTCTCCCCACTGTTACTTTTCCACAGAGCGATCGTCTGCATCCAACCAGCTTGGTTAGGCTGGTTGGGGATGTTGAGAAACTGAAATTAACTTAAACAATTCTTTGAGCAAACGTATTTCACAGCATAAAGATACTGCAGTTTTCCTCTCTTATATATATATCTGAAAAACAAAGTTTATAAAATAACAATCCCACAATAACCACTAACACACAACATGTGCAGATTTTGTGGAGTTCAACTACCTTAAGCAACGGAAGCAAATCTGAACGTGGTGAACAAACTAAACCACAACTTCTACATTCTAGGACTCTAGCTTGACTTGGTCTCTACATGGCCATGTCAGCATTATTTAATTGAAAAACTAATTAAACTGAACTAAATAACTTTTAACAGGGGGCAGCCATGGGATGCACGGCTTCGGTCTTGGGGATTCGTTTGGGGCGTCGATTTCCAATTGGGATGGCGCTTTGCGAATCTCACCGTTCGTTTAGTCTTCATCTCATCTCTCCTGTCGTTCGTTCAGCCATTCCAAAGTTCGTCTGAGAGGTTTTCAATTAGAGATTTGTCCCTTGCTTGTCCCTTGCATTGTTTGTCTTCAAGTATGCATCCCGTAAACTTTTTTAACAGATATTTTGGTCTTCATCTAAAGAATTTGTTTGTTGACTGGGAGATTTTTTGTCAAGAGACTTTCTTTTTTTCAGTGGTTTGATGTTCATTCGACAGTTGAAGGCTCTGAAAGAAAGCTAATATATAGAGTGACAGTAATTATAAATAGATGGATCACGGATCTTGGTGCAATTTTGTCTGTTTTTTTTGGAGCTATTTTTTATGCTGTTTTGATTCATGGGTTGGTTTTTATGTATTTTGTTTTTAGAAGTTGGACTTTTTGGAATTTGATATTGATATGGGAATTGAAAGCTTTCAGTTCAGGGTAATGCTTTTCAGTGTGTGTTTGTTTTATATGTCAGTCAGAGACTCGAATCTTATCTGCATAATATTTCCCCTCCTTTCTGTTTCTTTTGGATTAAACCTGAAAAATAGAATAAAAAAACAAGTGTCCAATGCAATGCAATTGAGACTCTACTTAATGAAATTGTTCTCTGGCTTTTCCTTATATGAAGAATGCCAATTTTCCATGGAAACAAAGGAAATTAGGATATTATATGGAAACAAAAGAAATTGTTGTGTTATGTATTGCAATACAGTTAGTGAAAGAACTTTTTCTTAATAAATGTTTTTTTTTTTTTTCAATTCATAGTGGAAATAACTTTAAAGTGGGAAAAGATCATCAATTTTTAACAATGAGGATGACATTTAAAAATATAAAAAAAGGTTGGCTGCATATCAAAACACTGTTAAAGATGTAGCACATGTGGCACTAATTACAGAAATTGTGTAATGATCTATTGTTGTTAATATTTGCTTTCTTATTTTATTTTTTGTTTTTCTGTTCATGTTTTTTTATACTAATTTTGTGTAATATTTACTGATTTAGTGATTTCATGCTAGAGATGTTCAAAGTTTGAACACTACCTCCAATATCTGAATTCTAATTCTGAATTTTAATTCTTCTCTCTTTCTAAGTTTGAACACTACCTCTATTATCTGGAACAAATTGGCAAAAAACAAAACACATTTCAATGGAGATAAAATTTGACCATGCAGAGAGCTTCTTTGTCTGAGGTTTGGAGGTGTAAGAGGAGTTGGGGTAGGTTGCACTAATTTTTGTTTGTGGCATCATGGAGTCACACAGTCATTTAATGTTATTGATTACGTCTGTTTTGCTTGGTTAGGCTATAGAAGCTCTGTTTAATTAGTTTTTGGATATTGCGTTGTTTGAAAATTCTTATTTCTATAGTTGTGCTATTGTTGGTGTGTGTCCATTTTGCTTCATTAGGCTATAGATGTAATTAAGAAATAATAGTTTAATTCATGAATATTTTTTTTCCCTTCCCAACTATTGATATGTTGGTCGAAGTTTGACTCTGATTTTTGCTTTAGATTTTGATGATGGCTGATATTCTGTTTTCTTCTATCTCTGTTTGTTTTTGTTTTCCAGGAATTTTCTTTTGTTTTAGAAGTGGACTAATGAAGTTCAGACATCTCATATAAAAACACTCTAAAGAAAAACATATTTGGACGGTTTTGGGACTAGAAAATCAGAAACTGCAATTTTTTCGATTTTTTCTTGCTTTTTCTCTTCTTTCTTAATCATGTTTTCTTTTGATGTTTTGTAGGTGTTGTTTTGCTGCTTTAGATAGAGCTGTTTGGTGATTGTTTTTGGTTTTGTTAAACAAGAGGTGCGTTTCTATGTTAAAATTCCAATTTATTGTTTTCGGTTCTGTGAATAGAGCATAGTAATTAGCTAATGACATCAATTGACAATTGGTTAGGATAAATTTGAACTAATTGCTATGGTTGTACAGCTGTAAATGAAGCCAATTAATTCTTATGTGGTTTGAACCAATGACAAGTTGTTTTCATGTATGATCTGTGCTTAGATATATATTAATATTTTTGACTTTTTCCTTTTAGTTTATGGAAGATATGATGTATTTGGAGGGGTTGTTGATAAGAGTGATAACAACATGATGTTGCTTTTGATTATATATTAATGCCTTTTTGTGTGCTGAAGCTTTTTGAAATTTTTTGTCTTTTTGAGGGAGCTTTTTTAACATGAAAAATGAGATGTAGCTGCCTTTGGTTACATTTGATTGATGTTTTGGGTTGATTTTTAGACATATATGTTTAGTACAAATTGGAGCTTGATCTTTAGATTGTTAGAAAAGACTTTGAGATGACTCAATTGTTGAATTAGAGTATGAAATTTTGATATCTGTTTAAAGGGGAAAAAGGGAAAAACAGAAAAATGGAATTGAAAAATATATAAAACATCTTGATTGTTTAGGGTGACTTTTGCATAGGTAACTTATGATTGTTTAGACCAGTAACTTTTGATCTTATATTCTTTGTTTGATATGCATCTAGGATCATTTAAACAGCCATTTTCCCGTGCTTTTACAGTGTTTTTCTTTGCCCAAAACACATTAATTTGGGTAGTCTTGAGTGATTTCTTGCCTTGCAGATTTTGCTCAGGCTAAAGTTTTGGTTTTATGAAAAGATTATTGTGCATGTATAAAAATATGCAAGCTAATTTCTTCTCCATCTTTTCTGTTTTTTCTTCCTTTTTTTTTTTTTTAAACCATGTTTTCTTTTGATATTTTGCAGGTGGTCTTTTGTTGCTTTGGATAGAGCAATTTGGTTGGTGTTTTTGGTTATGTTAAGCAGGAGGTGAGTTTCTAGGCTGAAATTTCCAATTGATTGTTTTAAGTTTTGTGAATAGAGCATAGGAATTAGCCAATGGTGTCAATTGACAATTGGTTGGGATAAGTGTGTGCTTCTTATTTTTTCTTCAAGTCCTAAAGAAAGATGGCAACCGTACAAAAATAGACTTCAACAATTTTCAAACGCAAAAAAAGGATTATATGCCTTATGAGAAGAAACTGAATTTTCGGATTTTGCGTTTTTTATAGGTGCTATATAACTGTTTTTCAGATTGTTTCGTAGCTCTTCCCATTGCTGCTAGACAACATGTCAGTTTTATATTCATCTTTTAAAGAAGTCATGCATATCAACTGTGGCTAATTGGTTTTTGGATATTGTCTCTTTGAAAATTGTTATTTCTGTCATTGTGATGTTATTGCTTATATGGTTTGCTTGATTAGGCTATAGAAATTGTATTTAATTCGTTTTCGTATGTTTGTTTTGAAATTTTTTATTTATATAGCTGCAATATTGTTGGTGTGCGTCCAAGTGAACTGCTTTGAACAGCTCAAAACCTCGAAGCTGCAGGAAGGTTACCCAAGTCAGATTGAGTAGACATTAACAAAGCATCGAATTAGAAACAGGGAGTTGAGACAATTATCTACATACTTGCTGCTTCTGACCAACACTATTGAGCTCATCCAAAATGTACTTTCTTGCCTTCAGGTTTTGACATAATGATTTAAAATCATCGGTCAAATGATGCTCCGCTGCCCAATCCTCCAATGCCTTTCTGTCAGGGACCACCACAGCAACAAGAAACGACTCAAAGCTGTTCCCATAAACCCAAATCTGCAAACCAGAGGAAAGTGCAGATATCCACAACTTTAGAAAACAGGAAAACAACCAAAAGGAAATTTTCACAAATTAAACCAAAAATACAAACTCGTCAATGGAGGAAAACAGAGGCGAGTCCTAATGTATGGAAATAGTTCTACTTCTATTGGATGTAGTAACAAGCAACATACCGATGTGATAAGAGGGCATCGCAGGTATTTGCTTTCAATGTTTTCCACAGCAACATATTCACCTTGAGACAGTTTAAATATATTCTTTTTCCTATCCATAATTTTCATTGCTCCATTAGGCTGCAATTCTCCAATGTCACCTGCAATCCACTCAAGGTCAAGAAATACCACCTTTTAATGCAACAATTAACCATCAGCAAAACATTCAAACATGCACAGTGGTGACATCTTGACAAGCCAAAAGACTGACCATCAAGCAAGTAAATTATTTCATTCAACTCTATGGCTAACTATTATGAGAAGTTTTACCAGAAAACAAGGACTTCCTCTCAGGCAAAACTCTACACGTGGCACACTGGAAAGTGCATCATATCCCATTTCTGGCACTGACTCAAGCCTTGTTGTAACTACTTAATTGTGCACCATGAACTAACTAATAACCAAGCAAAATAAGGACTTCAATATTTCCCTAGTATAAAAAGTTAAAACCAAAACACGCCAGAGTTTTTTTTTTTTCATTTTAAAAAAGAGCAAAGATAACCAACAGCAAATAAAGATGAGTGTTTGTCTGAAGCTTCACGTCAATTGGAAATCATACCAACAAAACTGGAAAAAAGTTACAATATTGGATGATGGCTGTCGAGCAAAGAGAGCTGTTGTATGAGCAATCAAATGGCAACTATCAAGCAAAAATGTAACACCCCGACTCCAATTATTTCATATTTTAATTTAATTAAGAGAAAATATTAATTTACTCTTGGGTTGAGGGTAATTTTGGTCAATTTCTTATCCGGGAAGATTTTGGGACCATGAATGGTGTGGTTGCGTAGGTGGTACTGAGACGAAACCGTAGACAGGCGGTAGGCTTGAATCGGAGATTTAACGAAGTTTTGGCGATCAAAACTTGTTCGGTGGCGGAACCGTAAATATTTTGAAAAGGGTTTGGGGTAAAATCTGATTTTTTTCATTTTTACCCCTCACTTCTTCTCTCTCTCTTTCTCTCTCTTTCTCTCCCGCGTTCCCTCTCCCCTTCGTCTTCCTCACAGCCGCCACCTTCCAAGACCACCGCCGCCGCTACAGTCCACGACCGGCTTCGAGACCGGTCTCGTCTGAACCGCCAGCTCTCCTTCGTCACTTCCCGACCAGTTTCAGCCATCACCGTCCACTGTGCTCGCCGGAAAACGCAGAAACGTTGCCGGAATTGACTGGAACTTCCAGCCGCTCGATCTCTCTCCTCCAGCCACCATTTCCGACGGGTAAGGTGAGGTTTCTCATCCATTTTCTGTGTTCTAGCTGACTGTTGTTTAGGTTTGGATCGATTTTAAGTTTTGGAACCGAATTGGAAACCTAGGTTTTGGCCGGTTTTCAATTTGAAATTCCGGCCAGTTCCCGTGCGAATTGGACCTCGTGGTAGTTCAATAAAGTGATCCTGACCTTGAGAAGAAGCTAGGGTAGGAAGGGTGAGCGTTGGTGTGGAGATTTTCCGTCGCCGGAAATTTCTCTACACACCCACGCGCTGCCGGCGCGTG